TTAATCAAATTTGAAATCTTCTGTTTTCTTCCCCAATTCGCATTCTACTGTGAAATACTTCGCATCTTCATTCTTACACCCTTCGCATCCCTTCGCATTAATCACCTTCGCATTTTAACCTAATTAATCAAATGCGATTCACAAAATTTTTCATTCCAGATGCGAACACAGTTTAGTTCTTGAACTCTAAACTTGCGAAATCAAAATTTTCATATGTTGAACCCATATGCGAATATTAACCCAATTGACTTCAAATTGATTCATAGATGCGAACACTCGATTGTTTTACTTTCGCAAAATGAGCATCAACAACTCCACAATCGAGTTTTTAAATTCTTGCAACCAACAATTTCATAGTCCTTGACTTCGCGTTTTTCTTCACGAATCATCCCTCAATCATCAATCCAAATGCGAATCAAAAACTCATATGTTCTTGCTTTATCGATTCATCGACTACACTCATACAAATGCGAACATAACACTAACCCTAATACACAAGGTTTAATAGAGTTGACCGGCTTGACTTGATGACTTGACTTGACTCAAGATTGACGATTGTCACAAATTGACCCGAATATGACGGTTGTCACACCTTGAATGGATAATCGAGTGGTGAGGGTAAGATATGGTTTGATTAAGGTTTAACTAGGAAGGACAGTAAACTAGAGAGCTAGTTCTGGTTATGTGTAACACCTTGTTTATTTATTAGATAAATAAATAACTTAATGAACATTTGGTAGCCCTAAAATTAATAATTATATATCAAAGGAGGATCTCGAAGAGCTAATTGTCATAATTTTAGAAGTTGGGGGTTAAAAGTGTGATGTTCGGACTCAGTTTGTAAGTATTTATGAAGATAGGGGCTCCGTGGTAATTATTTGGATCGATCAGCATTGCTCCACGAGGTTAAGAAGATGTGCCCGCCTATTTCTTTGTAGGTGAATTTCTTGTACGGGCAAGCAACGAGACTTTATATCGGAGACCAACATATATGGTCTGCCACTGGGGTGCAGCAAGGTGACCCATTGGGCCCTCTTCTTTTTGCCCTCGTTTTGCACCCGCTTGTGCACAAAATTAGAGACAATTGTAAGCTCCTTCCCCATGCTTGGTATCTAGATGATGGTACTGCCATTGGGGATTCAGAGGAGGTGGCTAGAGTGTTGAACATAATTTAGGTGCATGGTCCAGGTTTGGGTCTTAAGTTGAACATCAAGAAAACGAAGATTTTTTTGGCCCTCATGTGATGGTAGGAAGCTTCATGCCGATTTATTCCCAACGGATATAAGGAGACCTTCTTTCGGGGTGAAGCTCCTTGGGGGGGCTGTTAGCATAGAAACGGGGTTTATTAGCGGGCTGGCCATGAAGAGAGCGGCCAATGATGTTGATTTGATGAGCCTTCTTCCACAACTATGTGACCTGCATAGTGAGCTCCTTTTGCTTCAATCATATATGGGCATTGCAAAACTTTTCTTTCGTTTAAGGACATGCTAGCCGGTACACATAGAAGAGGTTGCATTATTCTTTGACAAAGGATTGGGCAGGTCTATCAAGGATATGGTGGTATGTGGAGGCCCCTTCTTTGGAGACATTCAGTGGCGCTTGGCTTCCTTACCTATTCGTTTTGGTGGTTTGGGTTTATACTCGGCCTACGAGGTTTCCTCCTACACATTTGTAGCCTCGAGAGCCCAATCTTGGGCATTACAAGGCCACATCCTACGTAACAGTGGCATATGTGGTATGGAATCGGATTACCTATGTGCTATGACTCGTCTTGACGATACGATTTTGGGATTTGACTATAGCGGTTTCACTAACAAGGACACCCCCCCTAAATCCCAAAAAGCTTTAGCGTGTGCCCTTTTTAGCAAAATCGTCCAAGACATGGAAGTCGACCTCAACATGACTGTCAGACAGAAAGCAGTCTTTGAGTATCTGCGGGTGCCTCATGCTCAGGATTTTCTGCTAACTATCCCTATTGATGGTCTTGGCCAGCATATGTCTCTTGCGGAGTACCGAACTATCCTTCGTTACCGCCTAACGATTCCCATATTCCCAATTGACGAGATATGCCCAGTTTGTCGCAAGGCATGTTTGAATACCTTTGGGGAACATGTGGTTCATTGTAGAGAGTTCCCTAGTTTCAAGTATAGACATGATGTGGTTCGGGATGCTCTCTTTGATGCTTGTCCGCTTGCTGGTATTTCTGTGAAGAAAGAAGCGCCAGTGAACTTTTTGATGGACCCACAGGATGGCAGGTCCACACTTAGACAGGCTGACATTTTGGTATTTGGATCGATAGGATAGAAACATGCGTGCGTGGATCTTATTGGGTTCTCTCCTCTCGTTGGTTTGGGGAGCGGGGGTTTCACATCTGGGCATGCCGCTTTGAAAGTCGTTGCGTGCAAAGTGGTAAAGCAAGAGAATGCATGTAGAGAAAATCAACATGTGTTTCTTCCTTTTGCATTTGATACATTTGGTTGTCTCGCACCAGAGGCGGTGGAGCTCCTTAATAGAGTCCAACGGGTCATGCATTCTAATGTCATATCTCCTAGATCCACAAATTTTGTTTTCAAAAAAATTGGTTTTGCCATCCAGAAAGGGCTAGCGGCGCAGCTTGGTGCCCGTTTGCCTTCAATCGATATGTATTGAACTTTTTTGTAAGCTCAATTTGAAATTCATTCTGATTCGAAATGAAAAAGGGTAGGTTAGGAACCCATAATTTCCTGGCAGTATGTATGCTATGTGATTGTATGGTATGTGGTATGATGGGGGAACTCACTAAGCTTCGTGCTTACAGTTTTCAGTTTTGGTTTTAGGAACTTCGTTTTCAAAGGAAAGGAGTCGGCTTGATCGCAACACATCACACTATGGTTTTCCACACGCGAGATCTTTGGGATTACACTCTGATATTGTTTTATGATAACATGTTTTGATTATTTCTACTTTGGTTTTGGCATGACATGACATGGTATTATGGATGTTTTCTTATACTGTTAGTTTTATAATAACGTATTTAAAAATGAAAAATGTTGCCTGTATTTTTGGGATGTTACAAGTTGGTATTAGAGCCTTGGTTTGAGGGATTCGAGCACACTCTTGGGTGTGTCTAAACTTAAACTAAGGACTTGGTATAAAATTTTTCAAAAGAAAATCATTTTATAAAAGAGTTTGAAAAGAATTTGGATGGAGAAAAGAACTTTGAAAAGAACAAGGTGTGTGATGCCTGCTATCAGCCAAGCTCGAGTAAGTATTCCCCAAGATACCCATACATGTTATAATATGTTATGATATGGTATGATTATAAGAACTGCATGCTAGATTAGGGATAAGAATCTAGGAATGATGCCTTATATGCCTATTGTAAGTGTATAAGAACTACATGCTAGATTAGGGCTAAGGATCTAGGAAGATACCTTATATGCATGTTGTATGTGCTTACACTACTAGAAAAAAGGCCTTTTACGATGTGCAAAACATGACGCTCTTTGATTTATGTTACGCATTAGAGAGCAACATTAAAAAAGTGTCATCTCTTCAAAAATTTTAAGGATTTAGGTCGCGCATTACTGAGTGCCCTTAAATTAGTGTCTCATATAAAAATATTAAAAACACGGAGGGCACCTATAATAAAACGGGCGTCCTCTACAAATGTCGCTTTATAATTTTAATAAACGCGCGTTTCTGGGACTCCTTTATAGGTAAGGGGGGAAACTAAATCCCCCAAAATTTTGAACACCCGCTTCCTCTTCCTCTCTACTCTCTACACCCGCCAAAATCGACTTCATTCTCTCCCTTCTTTCTCTCTGCAAACCCCTTCCTCTCCGATCGACTTTCACTTCCTTCTATGTGCAAACCCTAATCAAACATAACACATTTGAAATAGTAATATCTTCTTTCACAAAATAGAAGATTGATCGAAGAATGATTTTCTTTTGATGAATCGGACATCACCAACAACAATAGCTTCTATCACAATTTGTGTTTGCTTTCAGACTCCACCGTTATAGCATCGCACCACAACACCAGCCCTGAGCCACCACCACACTGCCTTCGCAACAGCCCAGAACCACCACTATACCACCACTGTTGCCTATTTCATCTGCGTAGGAGGCCTATTTCAAAGGTAATTCTTCCTTTTTTCAACCATAGTTACCTGTTTCATGTCCTACTGGTCCTTCTTTTTGGACGATTTTTTGTGCCTTTTTACACTCTCTCATATATTTTCATGGAATTGTTAATATTTTATGATATAAGTACCTGATTTTTTTATGCACACTAGGTGTTTGACTAAATGTTTGAACCAAAAGGGGATTGTCCAAAGATTAATGAACAAGGTTCAAAGCAACCTGCCACAGTGACAACCTCACAGGTAAATAAAAATTTATGTATTCCTATTAGATTCAATTTACTATTATTATACATACACATGAGTAGTAATCAGCCAATTGTGTTTTGATAATGATAAAAAAATCAATTTAGTGTTTAGGAGTTGGAATTTAATTTATGTAATAGGAATTGAATCTCATTTACTTACAGTTTCTAAACTGATTTGATTCCCTTTACTATCTCAATATGAGAATCCAGCAATACGGTCACAACTGTGATCTGTTACTGTAGAGTTGCTAACTAAAACCTGTGTCCAAACTCTAGAAGGTCACACACACAATGTTTCTGCTGTATGTTTCCATCCCGAGCTTCCAATAATAATGACAGGTTCAGAAGATGGTACTGTCTGTATATGGCATTCAACCACTTACAGGTGATCTCTTGTTTTTTTACCTTTAAGCGTGTGTTTGTTTTGTAGATTCTAAAAGAATCGGAATGCTAGATTCCATTACATGGTATGTTTGGTTTCCAAATGGATGGAATTCAATTTTTGTTGGATTCCTTCAAATTCCATGTTTGATGGATGGAAGGAATTCAATTTCTTTCTTCATTTCCTATCAAAAGACCAAAATACCCTCGTTATACATATGTAAAAATGTAAATTTTTTGACTTTATGCCACTCTTTTTTTTATTCAAACTTGAGAACACCTTGAACTATGGACTTGAAAGGGTTTGGGTTGTTGGATACATGAAAGGTTCATGTTGGTAAGTTTGTATAGCACTTTTTGTTTTTTGTTTTGTGGGTCTTGAATCTTGATGCTTCTTCATTCGTTTTGGATTTATTTTAATTACTGTTTTTACAGGATTGTTATTGGCTATGATGAAGGAACCATAATGGTGAAAATTGGACGTGAAGAGCCTGTAGCCAGCATGGACAATAGTGGAAAAATTATATGGGCTAAACATAATGAAATTCAAACTATTAACATCAAGAGTGTGGGAGCTGATCATGAGGTTTGGACTTTAAAGCCCATATACATGTTATGTTATGTTAACAATGAAATGGAAAAAAAATCTATTTTTTATTCAGGTTTCTGATGGAGAGAGGCTGCCTTTAGCAGTTAAAGAACTGGGAACATGTGATCTTTATCCACAAGTGAGTTATGCTTGTTCCTACCTTCCATTAAACTGAAAATAGTCAACCATATGTACTTTGACTTTTCTATTTTTCCACAGAGCTTGAAGCACAACCCAAATAGGAGGTATGTTGTTGTCTGTGGTGATGGTGTATACATCATATACACAGCTTTGGCATGAAGTACTGGTTGGTAAAAAAATTCGTGGGGTGCTAGAAAGTATCACCCGGAAAACGATGGGCCAAAGGTAATATATGTTGTTATATTGACTATTTTGCCCTTATTGTTTTTTATGGATCTGTTTTTTTTTTTTTTTACAATTACAGGTTTCGTTTTTTAGTGATGATGAAGAGACTACCAGCACACCAAAAGCAGATGCTCTTTTTATTCCAAGGGAGAATCCAAGAGCTCTGGTTATTCGCCCTCTTAAACAATGGCCTGGCAAATCATCTGCTGAAAAATTAAAAAACGCATCTTCTCCAGCACAAACAAACGGTAAACTAATTTTATGCTGCTACCTTAAAAATAAAAATAATCATTTTTTATCTCATTTTTTTTATTTGAATTCAGGTGATTACACTGGGTTTGCTTCTTCCCCTCCTTTAAATGGTCGCTCTACGGATTGATGCCAGTCGCTAATCAACCCGTATCAGTTGCCATTGATGCAAGTGGCATGGGTTTCCAGTTCTATTCAGGTGGCGTGTTTACTGGGGATTTTGGAACTGATCTTGACCATGGTGTTACAAGCTTGTTGAATCAAATGGAGTTATATGTGGTTGTGTATATACTTGCAATCTTAGGCTTGGATAGTCTACAAGGAATCATGCTGGATCAAGGCAGCTGTATTGATACCTGTTGTACTTTTTGCAGGAAGGTAATTAAACTTTATTATTATTATGATTAATATTAATTACAAGTGTAACATGTTTTAAGTAAATTTTCATTCCTTCTACAGCCCTATTACAAATGATACGTGGCTCTGCAGTTCTTTAAGTTGTCACCAGAAGAATCATCAAAGGATCCATTATATCTTTTGAGGGACATGTCCAATAACGATAACAAAAACTAAAATCAAGTAAAAAAATTTTCTAAAATGCTTGTAATTTTATTATATATTTGGCTTATATAGGGATGCCATGGGATACAAAAGGGGACATTTTGTTTTAATTGCAAAAATAATCATTTCTACACTAGGCTACTTGATGCTGGGAACTTTTATTTATGTGATTATCGTTGCTGAATCTACATTCAATGCCAATGTATTATCAAGGTACCATTTAAAATTTCCCTTTTATTTAATTTATGTAAAAAAGTGTAATAGTAAATGCTCATACATAGTTGTAAATGCTCACAGGTGCATGATAGCAACAACAACCGATTTCTATTTTTGTATAGTCATTGTAGCAGTAAGTCTTTGTTTATTATATACTTTCCAACTATAGTGAAAAGGAGATTTTTCGACTTTTGTTATAACAATAATGTTTGATTGCTTCTTTTGATCAGGTGTGGATTGCATATAAGGAATCAAGGTGGATAAGTGCTTTCTTTTGGATACTTTCACTTCTATCTTTTTGGAGGGTAAGCATATATAGAAACTAGCTCACTTTCCTTTTTTCACTCTCTTAAGTATATAACTATATATGGGATGCTGTTTGGATTTACAACTGAAGGAATCATGGTATATTTCCAGGACCCTAAAATCATTTACATTGTCTTATTTTCTCAAAATATTAATTGTTTATGTTGCTTCCAAATACAAGGTATGAAAAGCTGCAACGGTGGGATGATGCCCTTAAAGCATACACTGCAAAATCAGATCAAGCAACAAGTCAACGTCTTATCTTGGATGCCACACTAGGTATTATTCAAATATACCATGCCATGGTGTTATAGTATTTATATTATTATCATTTCAAGGTAATTAATTAAAATATTTGTTCATTCTTATGACGAATGAGGAGTTAGTGACAGATGGGTATATATTATATAATCAAAACACTATAATTATAAATATTTTTTTTTACTATAAATAAATTATTTGAGTTAAAATGGCATGAATGATTTCAGGTAAATGGGGATGGTAATTCTGAAAATGGCTCCCATATATGTGAACAATATCCATTTTCAGTAAATGAGAAGGTTGTTATTTTTATTTATTTCACTTTTGTTTCTATGTGAAGATATACTGACAAAAAATACATTACATGACATGATATGTTGGTTGAGTAGCTTTACGTGTTCTAATGGGTGGTGTTAGATGGAATTGTGATGATATACTCTCTAGTTTATATGATCAAAGATTGTCATTGTGAATATCATAGTTGATAGCTTTACAGATAATATTTACCATTTTTATGCGGGTATTCTTGTCATTGTGTTTGTCATTGTTGATATTAGGTAATTCATATTGTAGTGTATTTATTCCAAATCCCAAATTCTTTGGATGGAGAAAAGGGTAATTTCGTCTTTTACAACTAACATTCCAAGTTTGATTCTTCTAATAATTGTATTAACATATTAATTTTTTGACTTTTATTTGATCAGGTCACAAGAATTATCGGAGCAGGGGTTCAATATTAGTCTTAAAGAAGTATGAAAGGCAAGATTCAACTCTACTTAGTTGGAATTTGATGTTTATCATATTTGTGTATATCTTTTTAGTTTGTATAGCATTACATTGCATAAGGTGTCCCTTAATAGCAATTTAGTATTATGTTATATATTTAGGGAAAACCTTTTAATAACAATGTACAATTAGATCCCCTTAATATAAATGTATTACAATTTTTTGACATGATGTTTTTGGTATATATTTGTTTACATATGGAACGATTATTTGTATGACATTAAATTTATGCAATGGATTCTATTTTTGTATATGATATTTTATTATCTATTATTAAACAGTAAATACAAATTTAATTTGAAAATAAGCAAATCTATAAATAATATTTTTTTAAACATTTAAAATTATGATACGCAAAAATGTGTGTCATCTTCATTTATGACATGGCCTTTCTTGACAGGGGCTTCCTTGATACGCATTGCGTGTCATAAACACGCGCGTCATAAGGTTACAACACGCAAATGCATGTCGTCTTCCTTTATGATAGGGCCTTCCTGGATACGCATTGCGTGTCATAACCGTGCGTCGTAAATGCGCGTCATAAATGCGCATCGTAAATGCGCGTCGTCTCTCTTTATGACAGGGCCTTCCTTGACACGCATTTGCGCGTCGTCTGAGCGTTTTACGACGCGCAATGAGCGTCGTAAAAGGCCTTTTTTCTAGTAGTGTTATTGAGATGCATGATAGTACTGATCAGTCAGTGATAGGATAGCCTGTTTTGGTCATGCCTGATTGTATGAGCCTTGAATTGCATGTATAGATTCCTGAGTAGAGGATAGAATGGTTTAAGTGGAATATGATGGTTAGAATTTCCATTGTCTTAATGCTGCTTGCTTTGTGATTTATGGGACTCTTAGTAATGTGAGCTAGCTATACTTATGAGGTAGCTAGTTGACATTACTAGGAATCTTTCGGCAGCTGAGGACTGGATGAGTACGGGAACCTAGGAAAGCCTAGGATATGTTTCAGTGGGTTAGTAGTGAGGCTCAGTGAGACTTGGGTGTACCAATTTGAGGAAGTGACTTAGAGGATTCTGGAGGATTGCGGAGGAAAGTATAGATAGGTGTGGAAGAGTTTGTGACCCGATTTGGGGACAGAGGATGTTCCAGTTGTTGCAGCTTAGCCATTGGCAAGCGAACTGGTGAGCGTGACAGGGTGTCAGACCTGAGGGATATGATTTCCAAGAAGTTGCAGATGTGACATCGATTTAGAGAACTTTGAGAATAGGGGTCCGTGCTAGGTGCGTATAGTAAAGGGATCCCGGGAAGAGACCCATGATTTCTGATCATTAGGTGAAAGGCCAGCAGGGCCCAAGTCAGTGCAGCACGTACAAGAAAGTGAACAAGGGAGTTTGCCGCTCCAAGGGTTTACGCTGCTACAAGTGTGGCAGGGTTGGTCATGTTAGCAAAAGGTGATAAGGATTCTTGGGTATATTCGGATCTTTGGAATGTCAGTTCGGTATAGTGTTAAGCACCCAAGAACGAAACTCAGATTTGGGTTCCAGCTCAGGAGTAGGGTTTGAACCAATCGATGCGCGATCGCACAAGTTCATCTCATTGGAGATTACTTGCAGAGTTATGGGAATGAATATTAGTGGTCTTTTGTTCAGCCAGGGAAAGGACTTTGGGAGCCCTCGGTAGTCGTCTCGGGGAATTTTGGGCCCAATTTGTAATGGGGGGGGGGGGTTAAGGGTTCATTTAGAACCCAAGGACTGTGGACCCTTAGAATCATTTGGGAAGGAAGATCCTATAGTTGGTCCCTATCATCAAGATCAGGATTTCATTAGATGTTCGCGGGTATGTCATTATTTTCCACTTTAAGTGGATATGGGGAATCTGTACCGTTTCAGAATTTGAGTGAGTTGGGACAAGTCAGATATTAGGTTGGTTTCTACTATTGTCTGGGTTATCAAGGATTGTTATATGCCAATCTGCATGCCGGAACTCCTTGATGAACCTACAGAGGGATGTATCTTGCGCAGTGGATTCCGCGTGTACCGTTCTCATCCCGGATCTTTGTCGGGATCTGTGCTGGAGTATTATTCAGAGAATATTGGGTCAGGATTAGAGAGATAGTTCTCCAGTGAAGTCAGAGATCAATGATTCTATCATTTGTTTGTATATGGTCGAATTTCTCTATGGATGAACTTTAGAGTTCAAGGCACTACTATTGAAAAGATAGGATTAGTAGAACATATATGGAGATGTTAGTTGCATGTGTTAGATGCATAAATTCTTGGTCATTGGATGTTCAAGAGAATTTTATTTTTGCATGGTCTGTGTACAGATAGAGTTCAGTGGTGATGCGAGATTGGAAGTGGGAACGAGGACTCATCAGCGAGAGTGAAGATTAGAGCCTCTAGTTGTCAGCATGGGAGGTGGATTGAGGTGTCAGACTGGACCAGATTTCAAGAGTACTCATCAGGATTTCCGAGTATGGGCAATCTTAAGGTTTAACCAGTGATTAATCGCTAGCATTGGTAAGCACATGTTGTCACCAGTGAGATACTAGAAAGTGAGAAGGATTGAGAATCCTTCAATTCTCGCGTGTCGTGAAGACTTAGTTGAATGTAAGTGGGGGAGTGACTTTTTATAAATTCCTCCAAATGTGATTTCTGGTTGCACGGGGTGATATATCTTGGGCACCTTGTCAACCAGAAGGGTATTCTAGTCGACCTGACCAAAATAGAGGTCGCGATGCAGTGGAAGATTCCGAGGTATCCATCTAAGATTCGGAGTTTCCTGGGTCTAGCAGGTTATTACCAGATATTTATACGAGACATCTCCGAGATTGTGGTTCCTTTGACCCGACTGACCAAGAAATCGGTGGCCTTTCACTGGTAGCCTGAGCAGCAGGCAGCCTTCGAGACTCTCAGACAGCGGTTGTGCGAGGCACCGATTCTCACCCTGCCTTAGGGTGTAGATCATTTCATGGTTTACTGTGATGCTTTGATCATGGGCATTGGTGCGGTACTGATATAGTGGGGTCACGTTATAGCAAGTTTCGGGAACCAGGTTAGAGTTCTAGTTAGGACTCAAGTTTAGTGGTGTGTTAGGTCGAGTGGGTGTTTGAACTGGTAAGGAAAGTGGTGTAAGACTACAGGGGTATCCGTAGCATTCCATAGTGGTCAGTTAGTATGGAAAGTGTTGTAAGACTACAGGGTAGCCATAACATTCACTAGCAGTCAGATAGTAAGGAAAATGTTGTAAGACTACGGGGGTAGCCGTAGCATTCACTAGTCGTTAGTTAGCATGGGAAGTGTTATAAGACTGCGGGGGTAGCCGTATCATTAACTAGTGGTCAGTTAGCATGGGAAGTGTTGTAAGACTGTGGGGTTAGCCGTAGCATTCACTAGCAGTTAGATAGTGATAGAGTGTCGTGAGACTGTGGGTGCAGTCGTAGCATTCACTAGGTTGGTAGATGGCATGAGCGTGTCGTTGGAACGCGGAAGGAATAATAGTACCCACGACTTCAGTTGTGGTAGTGAGGACATGGAAATCCACGGATTGGGTTTTGGAATTACCCAAATGGATTAAATTTGGTTGAGCCAGTGATAAGACTGTAGGAAAGCCACTATAGTTATGAGATCAGGGAAGCAATGGACCATATGAGGTTAATTGTGATATAAGTTTACTATTGGTTAGGTGGCAAGCACTTTTAGTTTTGGATTTAATGATGTTAGGATTCGACACATAGATCGATCGTTAGATCAGAAAGTTGTAGAGTTGTAGTTCCAGAGAGGGATATCATTCGTAAGTCGTGTGAGATGACTAAGTGGGAGCCCTTTGGCTCCGCAGCAGGTCCAGAACCCAATTTCAGATTATTGGTGAACAAATTGATACCAGTGAGGTCTCGATAGGTTTTGGTAAGCGGCCACGTGGCAAAATACTACTTCAGGCAGTTCAGTGTTTGGGCAGTTTTAGCACTTGGGCAGTGTTAGTATTTGTATTTTAGGTTGCAAATACAGGCGTAATAGTTGGTTGATTGGGAAGTGACAAGTCACTCACAGCGGGATCAGCTCAGCCTTGACCAAGTATGAGTGATATGCAAGGATATTTGGGTTTGTGACCCTATTTTATAGTGGGAACTGCAGGTAATCAAACATTAAGTAGTTAGTAATGGACTAGATTCAAAGATAATGATTCTGTATGAGTGGTCTATCAGGGAATCATGTTATCTCAAGACAATAGATTTCAGATGAAGTGGATGTGATCTTGTGGTGAGGAATTCATTCACTTGCGGATTTTAGGGCTTAACGAAGGTTGGTTATGGATACCCTGGGAAGGCTAGGGTGTTCCTAGGATGGTGATCATGTTACTTGAGTGGTTTGGTGCATAAGAAATGGAAAGGAATGATTTCAAGGACGAAATCTAACTTAAGTGGGGGAGAGTTGTAACTGTTGTATTAGTGTCTAAGTCCATAACTATAATTGGTATACACTTGACCCGAACCGGCATGGTCCATTTGGGTTGCATGGCATCGAAACATTTGGGTAGACCTTTTGTGAGAAGAGGCTATTGTGACATATTAATATATTATAAGTTCTAATATATTAATATGAAATCATATTATTTAATTAGTATTGATCAAGAATTAATTTCGTGATCAAAAGAGACTAATTAAATATATGGGGATTGATTGTGTACATCATTCATTCTTATATATGTGGGCTTATGATCCATGATTCCTTATGTTGGGTTTAACGAATGTAGTGACCCATGGATACTCCATGGAGGTTAAAACCCATGGAGCATAAGGAATGGGTAAAGTCGTGAGTTACATGATGTGACCCTAATAGCCACATTCTATAAAGACCCTATTGGTTGGTGAAATTGGCACTAGTGTATACACAAGAGGGCAATCCGATTTCTAGAGTCCATGTATCTTTTCTCATGGTTATTCCAAATGTTGGTGATGTTGTGTGAACCATTTGAGGTGTCACACTTGGGGTACTAGGCTCTTGAGCTCCA